ACACCCTTAAAATTACCCCTTTTACCTCCAGAAGAACCCTTAGGATATATATATAGGAAATATTATAGATTTAATTTAAAACTAATTCAATAAAAATAATCTTATTCTGATAAAAAAAATATCTAATTAATATTTTAAAAATACATAATTTAATTTTGTTTTAAAAAGTATATTTAAGTTTATTAAAATTAAAGTTAATGCTTGGGTTTAACTTAACTGTCAAATTTATTTAAAAATATTACTCAATATTTAATATTGAAATTTCATTTGTTCTTAAAAAAAGTTAGCTCATTTTTTTGTAATTGTTTTTTCGGTCTTCCTTCAAAAACATCTTTCTTTTACTCAAAATTAAATTTTAAATAAACAGCTGCATCAAAAATTTGCATAAAACGTAAGTTAAACTTTTTTTTTATAATGCAAGTTAAATCGCAGCAATTATTTTTTAATAAATTTTAATTATATACAGCAATATAATTTTAATAGTAAAATAATAAACTAATAAATTTTTAATAAATAAAGTAAATAAATTAACATAATTTTTTTATTAGTTACAATAATTTTTTTTTAATAAAAAATCATTTGTAGTTGCAAAGCCACAATTTGAAATTTAAGAAATAATCATTTTAAAAAATCAAAAATTTAACATATTTAAATTCATTTATGCAAATGTCAAGAAAGGGAAGAAATTTGTTAATAATATAAAAATATAAATATAATGTTGAAAAATATATATTGCATTTTTAAAAATGCAACATTAAATTTAATCATTTGTTTATATTTAAAAAAATAAAAAAAAAAATAAACATTCTTTATAGTAATAAAAAAACTGTTAAATAACATTAAATAACTGTTAAATAACAAGTTAAATAACATTATTAAATAAATAACTTGTTTTGCGGTAACTAATATTATTGTAGTAATTTAAAAAAAGTTAATGTCTTTAAAAAATAAAAAAATTAAGAATTTTATGACGTCAAATATTGCGTTAACCTAATGCATAAAGCATTTTTTATTTAAAACAAGACCTGTAGCAGCACTCCTATTGCAAATACCTATTTAAGTCAATGTATTTACACTCCTTGCATGTTTTACCTATTTAAGTCAGTCAACATATGTACACTCCTTGCATGTTCTGCTTATTTCAGTCAATGTATATACACTCTTCTTTTCCAATCCCTAAATAAATCTGTTAATAAAACAAAAATAAAGAAAATAGAACAAAACAAAGAAAATTGAATAATGAGAACAGTATAAAACATTATAAAAATATAGTATAAATAAACATAATAAATAAACCCATTATGCGCTAAAAAAAAAGTTATAAAGTTAAAAAAAGTTTTCTTTTTTGAGGTAATATAAAAAATGCTTAATTTTATATGCATTTACAATTTTTTTTTTTTTTTTTTTTTTAATTTTAATTCACCTCCTCAAGGCCAAGAAGGCCACTACAGACGAGGAGGCTACTTATTTGTGGCTATAACCCTCTCTCAACTCTATAACTCTGAAACACGAACCTTGACGAACAAGGCCGCTGCGCGGAGAAACGAGTTGAGCGCGGTACTACCAGGGACGTGGTGGGGATCGAACTCGGGACCACTCGTTTATGAAGCGAGCGCTCTACCACTACACCACTACCGCATTATTAATTTAATTAATTTAATCGTTTTGGCTATAAGACAACAAGATATGTTGAATGAAAGTCAAAGTAATTACAAGGGACATAATTTACTGTCAAATGTTTTTTTACATTTTCTACTCTCAAAGCCAACAAAATATACACACACACATTTATATATATATATATATATATATATATATATATATATATATATATATATATATATATATATATATATATATATATATATATATATGTATATATATATATATATATATATTATATAATATATAATATATATATTATATAATATATAATATATATATATATCATATAATATATAATTTATTATATAATATATATATATATATATATATATATATTATATAATATATATATTATATATATATATATATATATATATATATATATATATATATATTATATATATATATATATATATATATATATATATATATATATATATATATATATATATATATATATATATATAGTTTGGATAAAATATCGAACCAAAGAAAGTCTTGATTCGCAATTTGAATCAGGAATCGAATCAACATTTTGAGGAAATCTAAACTTTAGCATTTTTTTATAATATATATTTCAAAAAAAAACTTCATTAGGGACTAAGTCTTTACATTCTGTTTATTCTTTTATTTTCATATTTTGCCTGTCAATTTTCTCGTAATGGCTTAAAGATATTTAAAAACACTCAAAAACAAAGACAATTGCATTTTATTCTCCTAAAATAACTTAAAGTAAAACGTAAAAAAGAAGTTAGACATTGTTACTTATTAGGATAAAAAAGAGGTAAAATAAAATGTCTTTATTTTTTTGCACCCAAACAAGGTTTCAGCATTATTATTAGATAGAGAATGACATGAATAGCTTATTAAATTTTCACCAGTTAAGTTAACTCGTTTAGAAGAATAACTTGTTGCTTGTACAGCTAATACAAATCGAGCCGCGTGCAAAAAAATAGGAAATATATATATATTTTTTTTTGAGTATTCAAGTGAGCAATTATCATTATTTATGGTTTGCAAACAAGTGTAGATACCCATTTCCGTAACAACACAATTTCCAATGTCTCTTTTTACAGAATTTAGTTGTAAAAGTTTATGTTTTTCAGATTTTTTTCCTTAACTTGTTTAAATACATCGTCAAGTAAATTTTTAGATAAGTTTTCAACTTTTTCTTCATTGATAGAATTTACGCAAGAAGTAGTTTCGCATGGTTTAAAATCAACAGAAATTTCAATTAGATGGTTTTTCACAATTGAAAGCTCATTTTCAGTGTGAATTACGGCTTTTAAGTTTAGGGTCTAAATATGTTGAGGTAAGGAGTGTAACATTTTCTAAATTAAAGCGTGCATGTAGTTGTGAAAGTAACTCCTTTTTAAAGCTGCTCATAAAGTTACAATTTAATGAATCTAATTGAGCTTTTAAAATATAAATACAAGGTTTAACTAAACTGATAACGAAAGTAGTATCAGAACTAAGTAGCGTTGTTGCGTCTGAAATTGGTTTTAAAAATGGAATAAACTTTTTTTGAATATCTTTCATCGTCACAGATAAAGCTTGAGGAAGAGCTTTTGGGTATCTACCACTTAAAGTGCATTCCATAAAAACCATTGTTATTGCAATACAATTTTTACATGACCATTTCAGAAGTTTAAATGTACTGTTAAACCTAGTAACAAAATCACATGGTGGACATGATTCTGGAAGTCTTTTTTCAAGTTGATATTTCTTTAAACATTTTAGACCTACAGAAGAATTGTTAAAAAAAACCTGCAATTTTGTGTACCAAACTAATGAGGTTTTTAACTTGTTGAACATTGTTGTTGAACATTTAAAGCACTCTTAATGCATAGTTATAGAACATGTGCAGCACATGGCTGCCATGTAATTCCTAAAAGACTAGCAGTGGCATATAAAACGTTATCTATTTCAATAATTGAACTTTGCAGTTGATTTATAAATCAACTGCAAAAAGGTTATTTTTTAAGAAGTATGATCTGCATCAATATCTTCAAGATTTACCACAGATAAACAACACGACTTTAGCTTCCATTCTATTAGAGATATATAATGAACCGTAAAAACTAAATAGTTGCTATTGTTTGCAGCTTTCCAATGATCAAAGGTAATGAAACATTTACAACCTGACATTTCTGCAAGGACTACTGTTTTAAATTTACTTTTTAACATTGTTTTTAAGTCATTTATCTTATGTGAAAGCGTAGATGGATGGGCAGGTTTATAATTTTTATTAGTAAGAGTCGAACACAATTTTATAAAAACCCTTACCAGCTGAAGTCTCAAAAGAACGTCCATCTACAACAGTAAATTCCAATACAGATTGGTCACATATTTTTTTGTGTTCAATCAAGATTATTAAGAAAATCTGACATAACAATTTGTTTCAATTTTTTTGAAAAACTGCTTTCTCTGGTTTTGGTCTGGTTTGACAATTTATGATTTTTTGTTCACTCTGCTTCAGCTTGAGTATAAAGTGTTTTGTGTTTTCTTCCCAAGTAACCTCAGAGATGTGATGTTGTGCCAGTGTTTTGTAAAGTGGTTTTGCACATTTTACATAAATAAAACTGATCTTTTAATTCAAAGTACAACTTAATAACTCCTACCATTGTATAAATTGAAATATAGTAATTTGAAAGAGTTAATGAAATGAAAAGAGTATATAAAATTATAAGTCAAATTTGAAAATAATGTTTTTTTCTTCAATTGTCTTACAAGTAAAGTATTAAACGTGTGACAAATCTAAATAATTTTTGATTCCTTTATCTAAACGAAGACAATTTATAAAAGAATGTATTTAAATTTAAATGCTCTCCTAGTAATAAAATACAAAAATTAAAATCTTAGTTGTATATTCTTTTTATAGCATCACGGTGGAGTTTTAAAAATGTTGGAATGAATAATTATTACAATTTTATAATTTATAATTGTAAATCTTGCGCAGATTCTTTTAAAGTAATATAGAGCTTTCTGTCAATGGAAATTTCTGTGCGTTAGAGATCAAAAAATCCTAGCTATATTTAAAAATTATTTATAGCATTACATACTTTCTGGAAAAATCTAAAACAAATAAACTATTTTTTGAATCGATTTTCAAATCACTTTTTTGATTTGATTCGATTCGAAATTCCGAAGCTTCACAGGGCCCTAATATATATATATATATATATATATATATATATATATATATATATATATATATATATATATATATATATATATATATACATATACACTTAATTAATACATAACTAAAAGTTATGTATCATAAACCTACATTAAATAAATCTCAATGAATTAAAACTTAAAAAACTACAAACCTTTAACATTTTCAGTTACATTACACTCTGCATGTAATTGAATAGGTTTTGTAATAAAACTTGATATCAAATCTTGAAAGACAACTTCATCATACTGCTTTAAAAATGCTTTGTTGGTAGAATCAGGTTGATAGCTGAAATAATTTTGAAAGTATTAAAAATAAAACTTTTTAATTAAATTAATTTAGTTAAAAACAAATTTAAACCTAATTGTTGTATCTCCTCCTTCAATGATCGCAGAAAACAAAAAATTATTTTCTTTAAACCATTCTTTAAGAACTTTTACTTGCCAGTTGTCATTGACATCCTAAAAAAAGAAATTTATATTATGTGATATAGTAAATGCGCCTACTTTTATGCCAAAGAAATAAAGGAATTTCTAGAGTGTGACCGTTTGAAAGCTTTGCTTATTAATTTAAAGAGCTTTACAAACTTTTGAAAGTTTTTATTTAAGTATGAAAGATACTCTAAAAATTTTAACTAAAGTTGTGTAACCGAAACCCGGTTTAACTTTTATCAAGTAAATTTTAATTTAAATATCAATTTGGGGAAGCCAGAAGTAATTTTCATCAAATAAGAATTTTATACTGGCTTGCTTTTTATTAATTTGTCATTTAAAAAAAAATCCGGCAGCTTAGATGGCATGTTTAATTCTTGTGATTTTTTTATGGAATAAAGTATAACTCATTTTCTCAACATTAAATAATAGTGCCCTAAACCAAACATTTTATTTGTTTAGATAAAGATTGAGATCAGTATATAGTTGTAATATTATGTAATTTTATGTGTATATAATGTAGTAGCACAACAAAACCGACCAATACAATACAATACCGATACAAAACTAACATAAAAAAAGGTGAGAGAAGTGTATATAGATGTACTGACAAGTAAGTTAGGGTATAAGTTAAAATAAGGAGCTCTTAAAAACCATAAATGTGCTGAAGCCGTAAAAGATGGCTATTTTATTATGAAATCATCAGTGACAATTGATGCAAGCTTAAATACATAAAAGTATATATATATATATATATATATATATATATATATATATATATATACACACACACACAAACAGACCTTACGCTAAAAAAACTATTAGGGCATTCCATGAGAAAGTAGGACATGGATGTAACCATTCATTCAGATTTTCTTTAGACTTTGTAGAAATGAGGTCTTCTATTACTTCACAAAATTCAGCATTATTATTAATGCTGAATTTTGCGACACAATATCTGTGATGTAGGTAACTTTTTTTTTTTCAAAGTCTTCACTTCCAACAAGGCTGCAAGCAACCACTATTAGAGTTGGAAGTTGGAAGAGAATAGATTAAATTTATAGAGCAAGATAACGAATTAACAGCAATTAATAGACAACTTAAAAAATTTCAAATTACATGAATTAAGAAAACAAGATAAAGGGAGCGAATTCCAAAGTACTGATATTTGAGGAAAAAAACTAGACAAATAAGAATTTTTGGAGTACTTAGGAACAGTCGCAGTAAAAGGATGAGACTTAACTGAATGACAAGTAACATAAAAAGGAATTTTAGTAGATGGCACAAAAGATGTTAGCTCGTTAGAGCAGTGCCAACTATGTTTGCAATGCATTATTGCACCTTATCTAAATGAGAAAGGGCATCATTCGAAGATACACTTTAGATATGGCAACAATATTCCATATGAGGACAGATCTGTAATTTATTGAGATAAAAAATAGAGTGCTGAATAAGAAAGTGGCGAGTACAATAAAGAGATGCAACCTTAGCAGATGGTAATTTTGCAATCAAATTGATATATGTATTCTAAGAAATATTGGAAATAAGAGTTAATTCTAGAAGATGAAAACGTAGATGATTCATTGAGTATATTAACATTCTTAAACACAGGAATTTTTTTTTTATCTGAGTCATTCATCAGCCACCAAGAGCCCCATGCCGTAGCCGAAGTGAGATACTTTTCAAGCTTAAATGCTCCCTCCAAGCAATCAGAGAGTATTGGCTTCTTATTAAAACAAGAATAAACGGTAGTATCATCAACAAACAATACCACCTTAGATGTGAGAATGTCTGGAAGATCGTTAATGAAAATTAAAAAGCGTATAGGACCAAGGATTGAACCTTTAGGAACCCCTGAAGTTACAGGATATGAAGAAGAGTGCTGTCCATCGAAGACAACTTTTATACTATGATTGGTATGGAAGGCTTCAATAATCTTAAAAATGTTACCTGATACACCATAAGAAGAAAACTTATGGAGAGAACCAGCATGCCAAACTTTATCAAAGACTTTAGAAATGTCAAAAGCGATAACTTGAAAATAGCTATAAACTTGAAATGAGCGATAACCTTGAAATTGATAAACTTGAAATGAACAATAAATGATAAACTTGAAAGATATAAATCAAAAAAAAAAATTAAAAAATGCACATCTATATATAAAAAACTCCTGGTGCTATGCACCAAACACGATGGGTGGCGAAAACACTATACTCGAACGAAAAATGAAGAGAAAAATATTCTAAGATTTCACTTTTGACTTACATGAAACTTGGTTTCAGTCTCCCATCTTTTGCTCCTCACAATTAAGAAATTAAATGATTTCAAAATGTTTTATAAATAAATGGGTGGATCTGCCATAAAAGCAATTGCAGGACATTTATAGTATTAAACTGAAGACCTTGCGAGTCTCTCTTTTTTCAGCAACAATGTTGATAACTGAACTAAAGAATGTTGATTGCACTTGAAAATCCAAAAAAATAAATTTTTTTTAATTAGAATAAAATAATTAAAATTTTGTAATAGAGAAAAAATAAAATTGTTTTTATTTTCTGTTGAACCTTAAATCTGGTAATATAAAGTTTATTGAACAACAACCCCTAGATATAAAAATATCTTAATGCATTTTTTGTACATTATTATACAAAAAATTATATTAAAAATATGTTTAACTTTTATATAAATAGTCGATGTAGCATTATACAAAAAACATTATAAATATTTTTTGTATAATGCTACATCGACTATCTTTTAGCCTGACTCACAACGGAGAGCTGCTACTTCAACTATCTTATAGCCTGACTCGAAAAGGAGTGCTGCTACATCGACTATCTTATAGCCTGACTCACAACAGAGTGCTGCTATATATATATATATATATATATATATATATATATATATATATATATATATATATATATATATATATATATATATATATATATATATATATATATATATATATATATATATATATATATATATATATATATATATATATATATATATATATATATATATATATATATATATATATATATATATATATATATATATATATATATATATATATAGCAGCAATATATATATATATATATATATATATAAAGTATATATATATATATATATATATATATATATATATATATATATATATATATATATATATATATATATATCAATAAACTTTAAATACCTCAATATTTTCTGAAAATTTGTTGTAAATATGTTGAATATCTTGAGAACTTGGAAATTTTGAGCCATCACAATCTCCCACAACAGATTTATCCATTCCATCTACCATAACCATAAAAACAATATATAAACGAATATTATTCAGTAGGTTTATAACTTTTTCATTTTTTTCTTTATATTGTTTTGCAATTGTATGCAAATGCATTAAAAGAATTTCTCTTCCTATTCCATCATAAACATGCAAACCAGCAATCAATGCAATACTTGCTTTTTCTAGATTTGTTTCATTTGGCTTATTTGTTACTTGCATTGACCAAATGCTTCTGTATGAAATAGGTGATGTTCCTACTTTTTCTAGCTTCAAAATCTCAGGAAACATCTTCTCATGATCCATCAAATACTTTAACATGTTATTGTAGTCATGATACTGGAAGCCATTAACAATTTTAGTTCCAAAAGTAGATTGAGTAGAATTTACAACTAAAATTAAATAAATCTTAGTTTATTGAAACGTTACTAAAATATAATTTTAATTTTACACAAAGAAAATAAAAGCTTTAAATATAGAAAAGAAAAACTGTTATGGAAAGAAAATAGTGAATGTCAATAGATCATCAATTTTTTAATTTTAAAGGTGAAAGTTTGTTATTAAAATATGCTTTATTATAGTTACTATGTTATCTAAATATTATTTTTTATCTAATCTTTTTAATTTAAACATTTTATAACTTTAATATTCTTTATTTAGTTTTAGTATTTTTAAATATATATATATTTTTTACGTTTAATACTTTTAATACTAATAATTTATTATTACCTTTATTGAAATATATCAAAGAGCCTGCCATTTTATTTGCCATTATGTTAAAATTTACATTATTAGATATTTTATTAACTAATATAGAATCTGTTTTGTTTATGTTAGGTTGTTTTATTTCAGTTGTTTTTACTGTTACTTTATTTACTTTGCTCAGTGTAGTTAAAGTAAAATTAAGTTCAATAGCTAAGCCATCATTAACAGTAACTGGTTTGGCAACAATATGAAAGCCTTTAGCACTAACTGTAACTATATAATTTCCTGGCATCAGCAATCTAAAATAGTCACCATCTTTTAATGAATAAACATTGTGTTTAATTCCAGAAACAGATATTGAAGCATTTGCAATTGGGAAACCAGATATTGTCTTTATGAAACCTTTAACACCTTTAAACATCTCCATAGCTATTCTTAAAAGTGGAACTTTATGTCCATCCCAGTAAGGCTTTAGTCTATCATGAGGTGGAAATTTGTAACAACCCATTTCAATCGTAATCTCAAAATCATTGGAATGTAAATAGTTGTAATCTTGCATTCCTCCTTTTACACTATACCATTCAGCTCCATTGGTAATACCATTATTAAAGGTTTCTTGAGGATCTTCAGGACAACCATTTCCAAAGTGCATCATTGGATGAGCATTGGCATATGTTGTTGCTAAATATCTAAACAGAGTATCATCAGGTGAAGCTGTGTACTTGTCTTCCCCGGTTGGAGAGTCATCAAATGGATAATTTGCTACTAAAGCTCCTCCATGAAGATTTACTGAAAGAACAAATGAACTATTACTAATCCATTTCATCATTGCTTGTGTTTCAGGTTGAAATGAGTAAGAAATGTTTTCTTTATCAAACTGATCAGGAAAGTCTCGGTTTAAATCCACATCATTTGCATTATTTCTACCACGCAACTCTTGGCGATCGCCTTCATGTGAATTTTCATAACCATCAGGATTCATTGAAGGCATAAAATGAATACGTGAATTATTAACAATACTTTGAATCTCAAGCGATGTTTTATAATTTTCACATAAAAATTGAAGAAGTAGTAGTGTACATTCTCTCCCCACAACTTCATTTCCATGCATATTGGCTACATATTTAAATTCAGGACGTCCAGGAGTATGAATACCAGGTTTATTAGATAACTCCATAACCCATAGCTCTCTCCCCTGGACACTTTTGCCAATACTGTAGAGAGCAACAATTGAGTTATACTTTTTTTTTAAATTTTGTAAAAATTGGGTTAATTTTAAGTAATTATGATGATTTATATGTAATATATCTTTAGACTTTAAAAATATTGCTTTAATTTTATCAGTTGTTAAAGGAATAAGTTTTTCTTTTATACTATCAAAAGCAGTTTGGGATTGGGAAAAATGAGAAATAATACCTAAAGTATTAGGTTCAGTTAAGTAGCTAGAACTTATCTTCAAATTATGCTGCTCTGTATTAGGATTTGTTTCCATTAATAAATTGGTTGTAAGTGGATTAGTATAATCTGATTCCATTGTTTCTCTTATAGGACGACTAGTAGTAATTTTTTCTTGTTTTTTTAAAACAAAATTTACCACAGTAGGTTGACCATCTAAAACATGAATATTTTCTTTGGTAAGATTATGGAATCCTTTTGCTGCTACTGTTACTGTGTAAACACCAGGAACAAGTAATCGCCAATAGTTTCCATTACTTATAGATTTTACATTATGATTAATGTTTTCTACAGATATGATTGCTTTAACAATTGGTTTACCAAATTCATCTAAAATAATACCTTTAATGCCTCTATGAACTTGTTCAATGTACTTTAGTAATGACTCTTTATTATTTATCCACTCTTTTTCAAGTTCCTTTCCAGATTGACCAGCTAATGGGTATTTACAGCATGAAAGTTCCAATGTGATTTCAAAACAGTTACTAATAAGGTAATTAAAATCTTGCATGCCACCAGCAACATTATACCATTCTGCACCATTAGTTATACCATCCTTAAATGTTTCTGTGGGATCTGAAGGGCAATTAGGTTTACCTGTTTTCATAATAGGATGATTTTGAGCGTATGTTAAAGCAAGATGTCTAAAAAAATCATCATCTGGAGATTTACTGTAAATTTTGTTTTGCATTGCAATATTACTGTCAAAAGGAAAACTAGCAACAATGCTTCCACCGTGCAAATTGGCTGAAAGAACAAAAGGCATTCTGTAAATCCACTGCATAATTGCTTTGGTCTCTGGTTCAGCTTGAAGCTTAATATTATAACTGTTCCAGTTAATAAATTGATCTGGGAAATTCCGATTTAAATCCTTGTCGTGAGCATTATTTCTTCCTCCAGCAAATAAAACATCAGAGTTATAATTATCACAATCTCCTTCTTTAGCATACTCAAATCCGTCCGGATTTAATGATGGTAAAATAAAAATATTTGTAGTATTTACCAATCTTGTAACCCTCTGATCAATACCATAGTTTTCACATAAATATTGTATTAAATATATTAAAACTTGTCTGCTAATAGCTTCATTACCATGCATGTTTCCTACATATTTAAACATCGGCTCCCCATTCTCAATAAAATCTGGATGATCGGTTATTTGCATATACCAAATCTCTCGCCCTTCAACTGATTTTCCAATTGACTTTAATCTAGCTATTAATGGAAACTTGTTATTATAATACTGCAGAAGTTTTGTAAGCTCTGAATAACTTTGATAATACTTTACATCGTCATTAAATGAGAAATTAATTTCCTTAGTTAAATTGTTCAACATGTTCATATCTGCTGCTACAAAAAAAACTTCCAATAATTGATGCCATAATGCTATAATACAAAGCAAGCGGGAGAAAAAAAAATATACAATGCTCATGATCAAAAGTTTATAGTATAAGTCCTATTTAGCTGTAATAACAAAAGTTTAGTCATAACAGCTAAATAGTCTAGTTGCAGAAACCATTTTGGAAAATCGGCAACACGCACTCACAAATTTTGTTTTGATCTAGAAATACTTGAGCATTCGACGCAAACAAACATCCAGTGAACAAACAAGGTAAAACGTGTTGATAAAATCAGCGTTGTTATACTTGATGAATGATTGATCTGGACAAATTTTTAATTAACAACTTTGAAAGTAGCAGATTTCAAATGTGGTAGATAAAATGATTATTCGACTTATATGCAGTGACGTTGCATAGAAATAACGGACTGATATACAGATCGTCTTCATTTATTATAACTTTATTTTACTTAACTTAACGCTAAAGATCAAACGTTAAGTAACTGCAATTGTACTCGGAAAATAAATAAAAAAACTTACGAAAAAAAAAACATGCGAGTCTAATAAAATTGATATTATTTTAAAAAATAAAAGCAATGAGACAATAACAATATATTTACCAGTGAATAACAATATATTTACCAGTAAATACTACGCAAAGGTGTTAACATAATACCGACCGGAAGCTCCACTCTTATAGCCTGGCTAAAACGAGGAGCGACCTTGTAACATATTGTTATATTAATTATAATTATTTAATCTTTAACATACGATCGCCAAAATCGTCTATTAAGAATTTTCTTTACTCTTGTGCTAAAGTAGTCAAATTTTGAGTTTAAAGGTTCTACAATATTTTTATTGACAAAAAAATGATTTACAGTATGTTTATACTTTAATGTACAAAAATGCATTACAGTATAAACAGTGTACAAAAATAATTTTTAACAATTAAAGTTAAAAAAAAAAAACTATCTTTCTTTTTCATTGGTAGCAAAATTCGTTGTCCTTTTTTATTATTATTTTCCATTTTCGAACATTTTTAAATTTATATTTAGTTTATGTTTTTGTTTTTTTTTTTTTGTTCTTTTTTCTCCTCAGTCATTTTATTTATATTATTTGATCTTGTTTTTATATTGTTTGTTGCTGTTTTTTATTCGTCTTTTTTTGAAATAATAATTTTTGATTTTCCTTTTTTTTATTTTTCATATTTTTTCCTTTTCACCGTCAAAAACCACCTCCGTCATTTGCAATGTCATTACAAAGAAAAATATCTAAATAATCAAATTTAGATGTTTGAAAAGTTTAGAATAAATGTTAACATAACTAAAGGAGACAACTAAATATGCTATAAGTACTATAAATAATAATGCAGTTATAATTTCTATAAATAATAGTAGTTATAGCAATAATAAAAAGTAATTGTACTAATATTAGCCATGACAATTTCAATTAAAACCCCACATCACTATGATCACAATAAACATTAACTTTACCATAGTCTATGGTAAAGTTAATGTTTATTATTTTGTTCTATGTGTTTTAATGTTAAGAAATTTTTGTTTTTTTACAATTGTTGACTTTTCATTCTATGGCATAAAATTAAAATTGTAAAAAAAAAAAAAATTGTTTGAAATTAAAACACATAGAACAAAAACTTATATGTTGAATAAGTTGTTCAATAACTACAGTGCAGAAAGAAATGTTTAAAGTAACACACTACGTTGCACTATTTTTGAAATCTTTCAATGAATTAAAATTTAGTTTAACATAGTAATAGTATAAAACTTATTGCCCTTAACCATTCCAACTATGTCCCAGCTAGGATTGAGTTTTAATTATTACTGGGATTGGGTTTGGGTTGGGATATGTTCAGGGTGCCAGTCATTTATACGATAAGTATTACTATATTTATACAATAGTAGTACAGTTGTAAGTTTTTAAACAATAAAGTTATTTGTGTATAATTTATAAATTTCAATTAATTATCATTGGCTGTTATTTTTAGAACATGTTGTAAAATAAAATAAAATACAATCATGAAATGTTTCTCAAGTGCAATATAAATTGGAAATGTAGTTTTGATCCTGAGTATTTCAAAAATCTGATGTTCGAATGTTTTCTAAGTATTTGTAACTTGCTATAGTAAGTCAATTTTGACTTTGTTACTAATTATATGTTTGTATCGTAATATTGTAATGTTTGATATTTGTTTTATAACTTTGTAAATACATGTATAATATTGTATTATTAAATGGCTATAATATAGCTATAATAGTATATTATATGCAACCCTCGGAATCAGAGTTGGCATTCGGCAATGCCGACCTAACTGCCAACCTAGAAGTGTTTAAAATGGGCAAAAAATATCTGACCTTGTTTCTATATTTTATGGTCAAACCTTTGCTTTACATTTTTTCTACCACTTCTACATTTGACCTGATGCTGACCTCACACAGATTAAGGTCAGCAAATAATTGCCAACCTGGTTTTTCCTAATTCCGAGGACTGTATATGTGTATTTACAAAGTTATAAAAAAGATATCAAACATTAGCCATGGTGACTAAGAGTTTGATGTCATTTTAATGACTCCAACATTGATATGATATGACAACTCAAGTCATATCATTGTTTATAAATTTTTATTTGTTTGCTATAAATACTATTAATTTACTATTTCTGTTTAGCTTGTAGCTTTGATTAAAATTACTAATATACAAATAAATATATTAATAACATTTTATATATATATATATATATATATATATATAACCTTAGTAACATCTAGCATTAACAGTGAAATATTGTTTTTTTAGGTTCCCTATAGTAAGATTGTCACAATCAAAATTGGTTCAAAAAGGTTTTAGTCTAAATAATAAAAGCAATGGCAACTGAAGAAGTAAGAATAGCATTGTTATATTTTTGTAAAAGTAAAATAATAGGAATAAAAATTTAAAAAAAATGAGATGTAAGTGAAAGTTGATATGAATAAAATAGCAATATTGATTTTATAGAAATGGAACTAAATTTTTTATTATATGTGTAGATTACATAAATAGTTGTGCCTTTGTTATTCTATTGTAATCTTTTATTTATAATCATACAATTTTTTTTTTATAGTATAAGTGTTATTAAAAAAATTACCTTCAACAGATTTTTTTGGTAATACATTTTTTATGTTTAATCTATGTTTTGTTTTTAGAGTTGGTTTGTGTTGACTAATGGTTAACAACAGAAAATACATTACTTTAACAAATGAAAATCTAAATCTGGTAAGATTACAGTTAGTTTGTGTTGATTAATGATTAACAACAGGTAAGTAGATTACAGTTAAGTACAACTGGTAAGTAGATTACAGTTAAGTACAACTGGTAAGTAGATTACAGTTGGTTTGTGTTGATTAATGATTAACAACAGAAAATACATTACTTTAACAATTGAAAATCTAAATCTGGTAAGTAGATTACAGTTTGTTTGTGTTGATTAATGATTAACAACAGGTAAGTAGATTACAGTTAAGTACAACTGGTAAGTAGATTACAGTTGGTTTGTGTTGATTAATGATTAACAACAGAAAATACATTACTTTAACAAATGAAAATCTAAATCTGGTAAGTTTACACTCAGTCTAGCAAGTTTATGTTTATGTTTTCATGTTTTATAAAGTGAAAGAAAAATTTTCCTTCCCTGAGTTTTAATATCACAAACTATTAGTTTACAGACTATGTAAACATTGTATGTTTTCATTTGATAAAATAAACAAAATACATTCTTTATATCAAAATTAAACAATTTTTTAAATAATATTTAATATATAGGTTTTTACTGTGATTGGCCTGGGTTTTTATAAATGGATTACGGTTGAGATTTAAGCTGGTCAGAAAATGATGTGTCAATTACAAGGAGATGTGAATGATGTAATGGTAGCATATTTTTTTAGATCAAGAAAAGTTTGTTTTGCATTGTTTTGACATATATAGTAATGTTACATGGTTTGATATGAATATACACTTGCAGGAGTTTTCACATACACTTTATTTTGTACCTCCATGGATTTTTTTATAATTTTTATTTACATGTTTATGGAATCCTCTTGCGTTTTCGTGCCCAAAAAATTGCCTTTGTGGCAGACATTATAAAAGCCTTCTTGCAGATTACACTATCTACTGAAGATCGTGATTACGTCTGATTTTTGTGGTTCGAGAACATTAACGCACTTAATAAAGACAATATATTGAGTCAAAAAATTATTTCATATAGAATTTGCAGAGTTCTGTTTAGCGTTACATCTTCTTCCTTTCTTCTTTCTGCTACACATTACTCACGCTGAAAAGTACCTCTCTGATGATCCTATATTTGTTAATAAATTAATGAATTCTTTACATGTCGATGATCTGAACTCAGGAGCTGACTCAAGTGACTCAGCCATTAATTTTTATCAAAAATGTCAAGATCAATTAAAAGATGCTGGCTTTACTCTTAGAAAATTCGAATCGAACTGCAAACAACTTGAAAACCTAGTTAATGAACAAAATTTTACATCCTTTAATCTTACTAAAGTATTAGGCTTATTATGGAATAAAAAAGAAGACAACTTAATCTTTGATTTTAGACACTTGACACACAATGATGACTCGATTCCAATGAAACGTAAAGTTCTTCAGTTTATTGCAAGCATTTATGACCCACTTGGTATAATTAATCCATTTATAGTCAAGTGTAAAGTATTCTTTCAAAAACTATGTATCAAAAAACTTGATTGGGACAGGCCTCTTGAGGGAAAAATGTTATTGGTGTGGCAAGCCATTATCAATGACATTCAATCTTCTAAACCCATTATCATTCCTAGGTGATACCATAATAATTATTCAAATCATGTTGTTGACTTGTCATTGCATGGATTTAGTGATGCCAGTAATATAGCATTTGGTTGTTGTATATACTTGTTGTGTTCCTTTGATGATGAGCACAAAATATGTTCACTTATAACTGCTAAGTCTAGGATTGCCCAAATTAAAAATACCTCTATTCCCCGACTTGAATTAAAGGCAGCCCTATTATTAGCTGAAACTATGTCAACTGTTAAAAGAGATTTATACCCTGTACTTAAATTTAAACAAATAGTCTGTTGGTGTGATTCTACTATAGTATTACATTGGATTAATAATATTAATAAAGTTAAGCAGCCATTTTTACAAAAGAGACTTTTACAAAAACTTAGAAAAACATTTGACATTTCGCATTGGCGATATATTGAAACACACAACAACCCTGCTGACATAATATCTAGAGGTACAAACTTAAAAACCTTATCTAGTAATAAAACATGGTTAAACGGACCAGCACTTCTTTATAATGATCCAAAGGACTGGCCAAAATTTGAATTAAGAAATGTAATTGATAAAATCGAAGAAATTACTACTAATTTAGTTTTAAATGAACATTATTTAGACTTAAGTATAATTGACATTACTCGATTTAATAACTATTTGCGATTGTTAAGAGTTACAGCCTTTGTACTGCGATTTATTACTAATTTAAAACTTAAAAAAGATAAAAAAACATTTAAAGTTATCTAATTTAGATTCAATTGAAATAGAAAAAGCTTTTAAGACATGAATTATATTCGTTCAAAGAGCAATAACTACTGATAAAAATTTTAAGCAACTGCAACTAGACCTAAACTTAAAAAATATAGATGGAATCATACGATGCATTGGTCGACTACAAAATGCACCAATTACACACGACGCAAAAAACCAAATATTCCTACCTCGAAATACAGAATTTACAAACTTAGTTATATATTATAATCATTATTTAGTTATGCACAACGGCGTTAAAGAAACTTTAAACCAAATTCGAACTCAATTCTGGATACCTAAAGCTCGAAACTACATTAAAAAATTGATTAAAAAATGTCTTATTTGTAAACGCTTTGAAGGACTGCCTTATTCATATCCTTCTCCCCCTCCTTTACCCTTATGTCGTTTAAATAATGATCATGCATTCAAATTTACAGGTGTAGATTATGCAGGACCATTATACATTAAAAATATTTATGAGGGAAATAATTTATATAAAGTTTGGATATTTTTATTTACATGTGCTACTACACGTGCTTTATTTTTAGATCTTGTTCCGGACACTTCTGCTGAATCATGCATAAGAAGTTTACGGAGATTTTTTGCGAAACGTGACACACCTTCCGAAATCCTCTCAGACAACGGATCACAATTCACCTCCAATCTTACTCAAAACTTTACTTCATCTCTCGGTATCACGTGGCATTTCAACATCCCCGCTGCTCCGTGGTGGGGAGGGTTCTTTGAACGACTAGTTGGATCCACCAAACGCTGCCTTCGCAAAATAACACATAAAGATCAGCTTTCATACGAAGAACTGTTAACATTTCTTGCTGAAGTAGAATCAATATTGAACAATCGACCAATCACGTTTATGTATGAATCACCAGGAGACTTACCACTTACACCCAATCATTTAATATATGGAAGATCAACTAACTTTAAAGCTATTAACGACAAAACTTATGAATTAAACTTGAACACCCAAAGTACATACATAGAAGATACATTAAATCATTTTTGGCAAAGATGGGAAAAAGAGTACCTAACCGAACTTAGAGAATTCCACAAATGTAAGAAAAATAGAGGAACAAATAAAATAGCTGTCGGCGACGTTGTACTGATTCCACGACTCAGACACCAGACGAGGTAATTGGAAGACAGGCATTGTCCAGAGCCTCAGTAAATCATCTGACGGACTCATCCGTGCTGCCAAAGTTAGATACATTATGAATGGAAAAACAATGTACATTCAAAGACCTGTAAATAAACTGTATTTATTAGAAGCATTAGACGCCCCTATTGAAACAATGAAGATCAATTTCTGCGATGAAAAGGACATAAAACATTTCGTTTTAAATTAATTGGGGACGGGAATGTCGCGCTCACTAGCGCGGCAACGACTTCTTGTTATTTGTGTTATATTGTCAGCGGTTAATCCCGCGCTTTCTCTCTAACTCTTACTCTGCTTCTACGCGAACGTTGTAACTTCTCGAGCACGCTTTTACATTATTGTACATTATTATACGAGAATATATTAGTATACATATTAAAACAGTATGGTTTGTGAATGAACCACACACTTACCATATACGCTGAAATCATAAACGGTAAGTGTTAAATTTAGTTTTTTAACGAATAATAAATTTTAATGATTTTTTAACAAAAAATAAAACTTATTATTTCTGAAGAATAAAGAAGTTTTCCCAAAGCATATTGTTGGTTGTATCTTTCATGTTTATTGAATTGAGTGACATTTTTTATTTTGTTCATGACTGACGCAGCATGTCTCATGTTTGCCGCCACATCGCGGACAATAGGCTAATTTAGAAATCAAAACCGGAACGTTAAAGCCAAGGAAATCCCAAAATATGTCTGCTGCGGAATAATTTTTCACGTCTTGATATTGTGCAGTCACATTCTCAATCTCAAAAGAGCCATTTCCGCGTTTTCGAAAAAACATATATATATATATATATATATATATATATATATATATATATATATATATATATATATATATATATATATATATATATATATATATATATATATATATATATATATCTTCTCTCGGTTTAAACTTATAATCCTAGCGTAGCCAGTGGAATGCTTGGTTTTTAGATGGTGCCTCGTGGATCCATTAGTTAACTTGATTTGGATTAAACACTTTTTACATTCTTCACACTTAAACCTGACTTTTATCTACTTTGAATTTTCTATATATTTTCCTTTTTCAATTTTTAAATCAATCTAAGTTGTAAGTTGTAAATCATTGTATTTTTATATAACTTATAAAAAGATACTTTGAATAGCTATGTCAAGTCAACGATTTTGGAGATTTTAGAGATAAATTGAAGTAACTTTTAACGTTTAAAATTTTAATAAAATTTCAAATAGTTTATTAATTTTGATCTAGAAAAAATATATATTTTTTTAATTTAGTTCAAAATTATTTATTTTTTATGACTCATTTATGATTTCTTTATTCCTGATTTTGATTAAAGATGATTTTTTAAAGAAATGTCCTTATTTAATTAAAGTAGGGGAGAAGGGGGCAGCTTTGAACGGGGGCAGCTTTGTGAAGAGCGCGTGTATTTAAATTTGATATATAGAATTATTTTAACATGACAATACTAATCCTCACATCTGTCACTTTAATATGTTGCCATTTGATTAAAAGTGGACAAACTTGACGGTATTTTTGTTTTTTAGTACAAATTTGAAACATTTTGATAAAAAGTTGTTAGAGTTTTCTGACCTCATTTTTAACAAATGTTGAACTTTATGTTATTTATTATATAGATTATTTTATTCTCTATACAATGATGCAAAAAATTTCATTAAAAAAAAATATTTTGTTTCTAAAAATAGACATTTACTCTCTAAGACGCCATTGGGTCAGTTTTGAAAAAAATGAACGGGGCACCTTTGAAACATTGTAACTCATTCTTTCAACTAATTATAAAATTATAAAAGTTCATTATCCAATACCAAGTTAGATTTGACAAGTAAATATACTATCGCACAAGTATTTAATGAAGATGAGAAAATAATGTTGACTATCTTATAGAAAGATTATGATGTTTTTTTAATACTTTTTTGATGAAAAAGTATTAAAAAAACATCATTTCACTCCTGATAGAATTTATAATATCGATGAAACCAACATAATGACAGTAGTACAAGCACCCTATGTGATCTTTAAGACTATCTTATAAAAAGCTCTAAAATGAACTATGGGTTAACATATAAACAAGCACAGGAATTAGCATTTCATTATGCAATGAAACTTTGTAAATGTCCAAGTAAATGGATGGAAAATAAACAAGCTGGTATAGAGTGGTTGAAAGGCTTCATGAAACGCCACCAAGAACTTTCACTTTGAAAACCTGAAAATACGAGTTTTTCTCGCTCAACAAGTTTTAATGAGTACAATGTAAATCAGTTTTTTGATAACTTTTTTGATGAAAAAGTATTAAAAAAACATCATTTCACTCTTGATAGAATTTATAATATCGATGAAACCAACATAATGACAGTAGTACAAGCACCCTATGTTATAGCATCACGCGGAACAAAACAAGTTGGACAGTGTGTATCTGCTGAACGTGGACAACTAATTACTATGTGTGGTATAGGAAATGCCATAGGAAATTTCATTCCACCTGTCTTCATATTTCCAAGAGCACGGTTTCATGACACCATGTTAAAAGGAGGACCTCCTGGTTGTATTGGTTATGCAAAGAGTCCAAAAAGTGGCTGGATGACAGGGCCACTGTTTTTAAAGGTTCTAGAACATATAAAAAAACTAGTCAGATGTTCGAAAGAGGATCCTGTTTTACTCTTAATTGATAATCATGAAAGCTATTGTACATTAGATGCCATTAATTATTGTTTTGAAAATGGAATGGTGGTTTTAACATTTCCTCCTCACTGCACTCATAGAATGCAACCTTTGGATGTGGCTGTTAATGGTCCTTTCAAGCAAAAGCTGTCTATTTCTCAGAACGACTGGCTTGTACGCAATCCGGGGAAAACAATAACAATACACGATTTAGTTGGCATACTGACACTAGCATATAATACAACATATATTGCCAGGAATATTGTTGCAGGTTTTTCTACACCTGGAATATATCCTTTTTCACGCCTTGCTTTCTGCAATGACAACTTTCAAAGTGCTGAAGTGACTAATCGTCCTTTGACAGAAACATTCAGTAAAGCTACTTCTGATAATTCTAAATAAGCCTGAAGCCATAGTTATGCAAAAAGAAGATTTTAAAGTGGATTATAAGAATTACGAGCAAAAAAGTATAAGTAATGCCTTACAATCGCAGCACACAATAACACCTGAATCTGTAAGACCATATCCAAAAGCTCTACCGCGTAAAAAAACTAATAAAGGCAGAAAAAGTGGGAAATCTAAGATTCTTACTGACACCCCAGAAAGAGAAGAAATAAAAAAATCTTATCTTTTACGCAAGACAAAACTTCAAACCTCATTAGGAATTTCAAAACAAAAACATCTAAAATTGGATCTAAATCCTCAAAAGCAAAACTAAAACGAAAAATACTTTAATCTATAAAACGAAAAATACTTTAATCGTAACTTCAAACTAATTTGATTTCTGAAAGTTCAAATTTTGTTGCTTGTAACGATGCTTTTAAAATTTAATGTTGTATATATAAATATATATATATATATATATATATATATATATATATATATATATATATATATATATATATATATATATATATATATATATTCTTTATTACTTTGTTAATGTTTTTTCTTAACTTTAATTTATGTTGATCTTAACATTTAATTCCCGATAACTCAAACCTCCAGGGACCAATGAATGTTCGACTAAAGCAAATCCCCTTTATATCAGCTAAAGTCGAACTTTAGCTGATACGAAGGGGATTTAATGCTAAAATTAAATTTACGCAACTATTCTGAAAGTATATACATTACAAAGCCGACAACACCCGGAGGAGGGGTGAGGAGGTTGCAGGGGGATTCGTTCCCCCGCACTTTTTTTCTAAAGGATCTGTGTTTTTGTTAGAAAGTTCTAGATATAGAGGACTTTTTTTAGAAATTGACGATTGTGCCTCTCCACCTCGACACCCGTGACGTCGGTCATTATTTAAAGAAAGAAGTTACGAATTGTATTCAACCAGTACAGTCAAAAAATAACATTAGAAAAAGTTAAGCGATACAATAACCTCCTTATTATTTGATAATAAAATTGCATCTAAAAGGTAAGGGTCTTAATTTAGAAATTAGTTAAATTATGAAAGTTTTTTTTTGAAAGGTTTTGTCATGATTTATCTTTTAACAATTTTATTATATTTTATTATATTATTTTATATATATATATTTATTTTATGTCTGATAACGATCTATTCTATTTATCAGATCTAAATTCAACCAAAAAATAAAGGAACTACAGTTATTTATGTTTTATATGAAACGACTTTTTTAAAAAAAAAGAAGCTACAGTTATTTATGTTTTATATGGAACAACTTTTTTTAAAAAAAAGAAGCTACAGTTATTTATGTTTTATATGAAACGACTTTTTTAAAAAAAAATTATGTTAATATCTTTAATTCCCATACCACTGCACCAAATTATTACAAAATTATTGAAAGTGTAACTATTAAACCAAAATACCATTATTTCGAAATTAAAAAAAAATCATTTAAAAGAGAAATACAATAAACCTTATCAAAAAACAAATAACAGTAAAATCTTTATAAAAAAGTCTATAAAAATAATTAATCCACGAGTTTTAAACCTTACTCAAATTCAAATAGACACTCAATAGACCAATGAACGTTTAAATTTGGGTCCTAATTTTGCACCTTCTTATAAAAAATTTTCCTTTATGGAGATATTAACACCTATTGAATTATTTGCCTTAAATTTAAGAAAGAAAAAGCGAAAAAGCTAATTTAGAGAGCATACGACAAAATGTTGGTAAAATTTTGACAAAATAAAATATAAACTATAACCTTGAAACAAGAATTGTAAGGTTGTCTCGTAGTTTATATATAAAAATAGTTTTAGTTTGGGCTCGGAATCTTCACGTAAACTATATATTTAACTCCAAGGAATGGAATAAAATGTATCCTTCACATTATCTAAACCAGGAGTTTGCAGTATTTTGTCAAATTTATTAAATCGCTCTAAGAGTATTTCGAATATTACTGTTAAAACTGCCGTTTTCCGCCTCGTATATCTTTTGTATAAACTTTTTGCTTCTAATTTACAATCTGCTTTTTAAGATCTTCTATCAAATATTTAAGGGCACCGATTGTTTTTTGATAGCTTTAACCACATTAGCTGGCTCATAATGAGAAGACCATCTAGTGGTGCTTAAGGTTTTTAGGGAAAATACCATTTATGCTCTTTCATTCAAAGTTTTTCAAAGGTGTGGGGATGCAGAGAAATAGGTGTAAATGTTTTGAATAGTTTCGAAATATTCTGTTATTTCCATTACAACGCATAATGCCTCTCTCGAACCAAATTTAAAGAATGCGCAACAGAAGGGGCAAAATCCGCTAATGCATTCGTGCTTGTAAGCCTGAATATTTTGCACACTTATTTGAACCGTTTGCCTTTCAAATCTTTACAACCGTCAGATGCTAACACTGTAATGTTTCCTGAATGGAGAAATAATTTGCATGGTAAACAAAATGCTGCTTCTTTGCATAAAGAATAACAATGCCAGGATTTCAAAACTGTTCAACTGTTTTTCAGAAAACCTTCTAAAACAACTGTTAAAAAAATCTGCTTTGATCTTTATAAATTTGCTTAGATTCTTGATTTGAATAAATTTCCTTTTTATTTTAGAAAAAAACAAAGTTTAGGTAAAAATGGACAAACTCAGAACTAATAAACTTTGGCAATATCCTATATTGCTAAAGAATACTCTTTTTTATATCTTCTTGCTTGCAGCATGAAAGTACACGAAGAAATTTAGATGATTGGGTTCTTTCAATAATTGTGTTGTCTTTACTGAGAGTTGTCAAAATTGACGGGGAAGCCCTTCTTTTTTAGTTGGAATGAAATAAGATGCATTTAGTTTTGTCTCTGTCTTGAACAAGATTTTCGACTCGGCACTTGGTATCTACGTTGCCTTCAGCAGTATGCTATACTTTATTTCAATTTAAATGGATAATGAGACAATAAAGTTAAAGTTATATTGATCGATAGCAATCTCTCTTTTTTTGTGTCTCGGTTAGGATAAGAACCGGCTTTCCCGGTTTTTCATTATTTTACACAATCTCACAAAATTATTATTCCGGCACATTTTTCGTAAGATGGTAAAACTATAACTAAATGTTA